GGTCAATATAATTAGCATTTACCTTACTCCAATTTACATACTCATGTCTAGATTTACTGTAGTAAATTAATAGAGTATTGAAACAATAAAGGAAAATGGTCAGATCCCAGAACATCGTACGCTATATCAACCTAAGTCACACATGCATTAGCTCCATGAGTACACATGATGTGATCTAACCAACTTGTGGTTCCATGCGATTCACTCAAGAATGTAAAGTTTGAATCAACACCTAAATAAGATAAATCTGATAATGCTAAATCATTTTCAGAAACAAAACTTAAAAGTTCTTTACCAAATTTCTTTTTGATGTCAGCATTAAAGTCACCACAAACTACAACTTTGTTGCTGTGAAATTCGTTGATAGTCGTTTGGATTTTACCTAGATAATCAATAAACTCAATTAAGTTATCGGCATTATTGTCATAGGGGAGATAAGCATTAATAAGGAGGGACAAATTATCACTGTTTCCTACTGTAATTGCAACCAATCTTTTATCATTTATATCTACCTTACAAATAAAATTTGATAACATTTTTCTATAAAAGATGGCCACTCCACCAAAAGGGCGACCCAACAGTATTCCGTCAGAACTGCAAACCGACGAGACACTAATGCAGTCAAAGTCAGCATGAAATGACTTAAGTATAAACAATTCGTCATCAGTAAGCCAGTGTTGAATAGCTACAATATCATTAAATAAATCATAAATCTCTTTTTTGCGTGATTTGCAGTTGTAGGAAACACACCTCAACCGTGACAATGACTTACTATTATTATTATTAATATTATTATTGGGCCCATCCCCCATCATCATCATGTTTAGTGAAACTAGTATCATAATACAGTCTAATTATAGCATTAAGTGGCCATAAATCTGTATCATAAATATCATTAATATGCACTGCATCACACTTAATCATAAAAGAAGCACAGTCCGTAACTTTACAGGGCAAAGATAATACATCAGCTACAATGTCCTTGGATACTTTTAGATGATTTTTAACATCCTCAGTGCTAGTATAAGGAGACATGTTACCCAAGTAGAACTTACATGGAGGAGGTGTTCTACCCTTAAGAGCAATATTTTTTCCAGTTCCACGTTTATTTTTACGTCGACTCTGCGAGTTACACTGCAACCGGAATCCTCCATCATCTTCAAACATATCAACACGAATTTCATTACTTGGCCTATCATTTAACACAGTTCGTGAATTATCCGCATTCTCACGTAGTACCGACGCAGAAGCAACATGCTTGCGATTAACGCCCTCAGTCGGAACCAGGGGATTTCCCTTTCGCTTTGTTTTTGTAAGGGGTTAACAGGCTGTTGCTTAGCAACAGCTTGTGCAAACGACTTAGGGCGATCACTCACTTTAGACAATTTAGGTTCGGTATTATGTGATTGAATTACCTGTTGTACCTGTTTAGAGATGTCACATCTTTGATTTGCAGCATAGGCAATGTCAGTTCGAACCACTTCTAAATCAGCTTTGAGCTTTTGGATCTCCCGAAACAACAAAGTAGCGTCAATCTTGTCGACCGGAACAAACGGTATTTTAGCCAAGTTGGCTGCCGCAAACGTAGGCAGGTTCATTACGTCAGCATTAACTAAGTATGTCAGGATATCATTAACCATTATTTTAGATTGTCTTCTTGGTTTATGTACAATGCTATTACGTCGATGACATATATACATAGCGTTTCCTTAGCTTCCCGTAGGCCTATATCCTGCTCAAGAAGTTGGTCAAAGGTCATAGAGTTCATATTATTTAGTATGTAGCATCATAACTCATTTATAACTACACAATCTGAACCACTAGGTAAGATCTCTCTATCAGTAGTTGCATCATCATTTACCTCAGGTGTGGTGTCAGTGTTGATCGATACAGGTATAGCCAGTCGGCGTAGCCCTACGACTAGCCATTGTATTAGATGTCACCGTGTGCTGGTAAAGGCGTTGTGACAGGCACTGACAGCTAGCTATCAACCAATCTCACAAACGATCCAGCTGGGCTAGCAATTCACCAACTCCAATTCCATTGATAGAACACCACAGCAATTATTATAAAACGATTGTAGGCCTATACTTCCTTGGTACTTATTAACACAATAGAAGACATCAAAAACTAGAAATCCGTGCAAAATCAGTAAATAATACCGTTTTTCTGACTCTCATAATGCGATGAGATTTTAACCGCCTATCATAACAACATATTAGGCCCTGTCTCTTATACACATCTAGATGTGTATAAGAGACAGTATATATATATATATATATATATATACATACATACACGAATACGAATCTTTTTGCTAGCCCTGGTAGACTATAATCAATCACATTGTAACAGTAAAAAAAAGAGGTTCCAACAGGCTAGCGTCTTCAATGCAGCTGCTTTTAGATTGGCCTGCGATTATTTTGGTTTATGTCCAAACTCATTTGCATATCACCGAGTGCTTACCGCATATTATTCTTCATATTAAACACCCTTATAAATTTAAAACATTTATATGTCAAAATTGTATTATAAATATCATTGGCTTTTCTTGCGTAGTGAGCTTAAAAAGCATTGTTTTGATTCTGTTTGTTTTTTATTCCGTTTTCCTACCTTTTTCAAAATTTGTCCCAGAAATGACCATAATTATATTAAATAAATTATGATTTATAATGTAAAATTTAAGCCTATGTTGTTGTTGATTTCTCATTTTTATTTTGTATGGTATTTTTCTGCTGAATGTTTGTGATATTTTTAGTATATTTATTGGAAAGTTATTCGGAAGGGATACACTCAACAAATTGTTCATCTGGCAAAATAATATTAAGGGGTTGGGTTTGTGTGTGATTGAGATATGTAAAGTAGATACTGTAAGGGAAATGTGAGCCATCGGAGCGTGTCCCTTTCTATCGACGAATCGCATAATTTAGTTTCATCATCTTCTTGCATACTTGTTTGTTTGTATTCATATTCTGTTAGAACTGTTATTGTATTTTTAATTTTTAAGTTTGTATATATATATGTGTGTGTGTTGTGGGTGGGTGTGTGTGTGTGTGTTTGTGTGTTTGCTATTTACCATATTATTTCTGTGGTAAGCTTATCTCTTTGACTTTGTTAATTTTCTTGTTATGGTCAACGCCAACGCTGCTGAGTACCAATATAAAGTCTATATCTGAATAAATTGTTATATCACATGCACAGAAATTGTGAGTCGTTTGAGGCTTAGTAGCGTCAAGTGATTTTTCAAATTTCTGTTTAACTTTAATTTTATTATATACAGAATTTGTTTTTACTTTCTTATTTCAATATCACTTCTCATTATGTAGGCCTAAATGAGGAAAGCCCCAATGTTCTGTTTGATTTAAACAACAGACATAGTAAGTCTATTTAATATTATTACTATTGTTTTCCAAATAGAATATATAAATCTGTACAGGTGCTATTCCTTTTTCACACCGTTTTTTTTTACCCTGTACGATTTGCGGTAAAAGTCACCAAATAGGGCCAGCATCGAGAGCATATATAAGATCACGACTACGTTGAACTTTCTTGGAAAGTTACAATCAGAATCTACTATCATATTATAACCTGTGTGGAAAATAACAACAAACAATGCATCTGTAAGATAAAAATAAAATAGTGTAATTAATTGTGGAAAGTAATTAAATTACTTATTTCAAATCTTACATTAAAACTTCTAACAATAACCCATTACTCTATTGGTAACCCCCTTCTAAAAGTAACCCATCCAATAAGTTAATCTATTTAAGCCCACCACTCTAATAATTACCCATGGGGTAACTATTAGAGTCACCAAAACTATAAACAAAATGACATTCAAATCAACATTTTTATCGCTTAAACACGATTTATTTCTTAAAATAGGCATTCTCAATGTGATAGCGCCGTTGATGATCCTTTCGTGAATTTACTCCTTGGTGTTTTTGAGTTTATAAATGAAATCAAATAAACTAAGTTTTTAGTATTATTATTATTATTATTATTATTATTATTATTATTATTATTATTATTATTATTATTATTATTATTATTATATTAATTGATATAATTCAAAAGATGCACCCCTTTAATTCCCACAGAAACCTCTCTTTCTATAGAGAATTGTTGTAGTGTGTCGGTCACGGTGAAAATGACGTTGATGATAGCGATAACTTTAACGATATTAAAATGCCAATGCCAAAGAATGGATCTTATAGTAATATTCCAATAGGCATATATCTATGCGCCTCTCAATGTTTAAAGAGGCCTATATCAAGTAATATAACTCAACACAGAGGAGGCGGGGAATGCAAAGGTTCTGCCCATATAAACCAGACGGAGGGCGCACGCCACCGCACTACACCTGTGATAACCATGATGGTGATAACAACACGTCAGTTAATTGATGAATTTGCCGAAGATGGACGAAACGTCGTAAAGTGGGTTAAATCTATTTGGCGAAAGAAAGAAGTTAAATCATTAAAAAAAAAAATAATAAAAAAATTGGTGTTTATATAATTGAAAGAATACCGTAATAAAGAGAGTGTATATTACCCATGGATGTTTATATTTATCTAATGCATTATTAGGTAACTATTTAATAATTTAGGAATATCTCATCTTGATAGTCTTTTCACTGAACTTTTTGAAAATGTTAAGCAGGACGCTCACTGGGCACGACGGTCGTCGATTCTATAAAGAACGCAACGCGAGAACGACGCACGCGCAACGGATCGTTTTTAATGACGATCAGTTCAGACTGCCACCGACGATCTGCAGACGGCGTCGCGTCTTTTATCGCTCACAGAGAGCGAGGTTGGATTCGTCGTGCGACGGTCGTACGACCGACATACGACGCAGTGAGTGCTCGGCTTTAGGCATAATCATTATTAGAATATTTCAAATATCACATTGTACTAGGCTTTTGTAAAATCGGTCAGAGTCCAGTGCACTAGTCATCTGCTTGTCTGCCTCACAAATCAATCATTTACAAAGTGATACTGGAAATGCAATTGGGAACTCATTTCGTAGGTTTATTTGTAACTATGCAGTACCAAATTGTAAAACACTTGTGTAGATTCCGGATTTTTGTTATTTCTAGTTTTATGGCGATGGTAAGTCACATGATATTTGCAATGTTAACAGATTAGTATAAATATATACCGTTAAACCTGAGAAAGAAAGCCAGCGGACTTAATATCGAGAACAGAAGCCTCCAAAAAAAAACCCTATATTAAAAATATAATAATCAAGGTCTATTTTATTAAATTATATCAAAATCTTGATTTGATTTATATCGTTTATATGTAATTAATATGATAATCGTCTGTATGTTTTAATGATCATTATAATTTTTAAAATAATGTTTTTATATTTGTGATTTAAAAAAAATATTCAACAGAACTTCGAATTCTATGGTTGAAAAATGTTTTAGTAGCCCTATACGATTCTAGCACCTTCCAAATATTTGAGGCATTCATGTTGAAAAGTAACCCTCTCGTTAGTTTGCAAAAAACAATCTCAGAAAGAAGCCCCATCTTGGAAAGAAGTAAATCCCAGATCCCTAAATATGAAGCCCATGGATTTCTTTTCAAATGTTACAATGTTGACTATTATCTGTCTATGCAGTTTTAAGTTATTTAAATAATATATTATTATTATTATTATTATTATTATTATTATTACTATTATTATTATTATTATTACTATTATTATTATTATTATTATTATTATTATTATTATTTATTACTATTATTATTAGTATGAAAGCAGTGGCGGTGCCATGGGGTTTAAGACCCTCATCGGTTTGGTCAAGCCCCCCCCCCTTCTACCCCACACCATCGGCCAAAGCTCGTCGAGCAGTCGGACCAAAAAAAAAATAGGCCTAGCTTTTCCATATCCTAGCCATTTCCGGCCATCTATAAGTTCCAATTACATATTTTTTTAAAATCTCGTTTTGGAAGATTATTATTATTATTATTATTATTATTATTATTATTATTATTATTATTATTATTATTATCATCATTATTATTATTATTATTATTATTACTATTATTATTATTATTATTATTATTATTATTATTATTAATATTATTAATATAATTATATTTTTTCTTATAATTATTGTTATTGTTATTATTACTATTATTGTTGTTGTTGATTTTGTACGTCTATTAGTATTCCTATGTTAATGTTGTCACGCTGTAGTTCATTTTTTCATCTATTTGGTCGGTTGAGGTTTCTTAAGTCAACTTATCCCAAAGAGTTATCATTATCATTATTATCAACTTAACCAACTGGATTTATAAGATTATGCTATGTTCGTACCAACAGTTCGTTTATGTTTTGTTATATCACTACGTATTACACACCACCGGATATGAAACCTACTTTACTGCAAACGATAGGCTCCAAAAATCTATCAAAAATTATACCATTAATGCAGAATGGCATATAAATGCGGTTCCAATGTTCTCTGACGTAATGGCGAGAAAGCTTGAGCAGAACATGCACAGTCAATTCAGTACTGGTTACAAGCTTAGACTCGGAAGCCGGAAATCAATCAATTGCGATCAAACAACATTTACTGTTCTTGGAGAAAAGGCTATTCACTTTGGTGAGTTCTTTAGCATAGTCATCAAAGCTAGGGATAAAAATGGCCAAACACTAGAAAGAGGAGGAGACTTTTGGTTTGCTACGATCTCAAATTCAAAACTTGCGACACGAAGTGCTGGGAAAGTCATCGATTACAAAAATGGAACATATGAGGTTATTTTTTTGGCTTCATTTACCGGAAATGTAACAGTTGACATAGTTTTGGTTGCACAAACAGAGGCAATTGCATGGTTACGTCAAGTATTTTGGCCAGCAGAACAGAAATTAAAGTGGGTCGGCTACTTTTCGGGGCAAACAAATTATAATTCGAAAAAGAAAACGAAAAAGAAATCAAAGGTAGAAACAAGTTTCTGCTATCTTCAAGGAGGACTCCAATGGAATGATAAATGTGAATTTAGACATGCCACCGCCCTGGGATCTGTAGTATTTGCCTGTGGCAGACCAGCGACTTTTGAATGTGATTCTCTGATAGCCATTAAAATAGAGCCACATCATGCAAGTCAGATGACGAAGAGAATGATAGCAGGAAAGGAATACATGTTCAATAGGTTAGTATGACATTAACAAAATAAATATGCATGTTTAAATGTCTGAATTTTCAGACGACAAGACACCTTCCATATTGACAAAATTGAAAGCGAATACGTGCAGCAGCTGCTTTTTTAAATTATGGTTAAATTATGTTTACTTATTATATTATATTGTATACTTATTACATGCGTGCAACTGAGCACGAAATTTAAGACACATTTACAAAACATGAATGCTTTCAACTGGCTTATCTTCCGGCCCACTTTGCCGACCGACCTTTGCACGAAGGTGTGCTGCTTTTCAAATTTATAGTTCAGTTATGTTTACTTTATATATTATATAGTACTTATATACTTAATGTAGTATTATTTTCGTGCAACTGAGCACAAAATTTAAGACACATCTACAAAACATGAATGCTTTCAACGGGCTCATCTGCCGGCCCACTTTGCCGACCTTGAGTTACCTTAAGTCACGTAAATTGTAATTAACATGATTTTGCCATCCGTTATCTCACCCATTATCATATATTATGATAATAAGTGGGATAACTTCTGCGCATCTAGCGACATGAGAATTATGTTTGGCGGATACTGGCACTCCACAATTAACGCATGAATCCCAACACGATGGTGTATATATTTTATCTCGGCGTATGTATACACTTTCTTAATAACGCATTATTTTTATTGTTTTCAGTTCTTACAGAAGCTTAAGTAACGGACCTACAACCGTCAGAATTATTGACAGAGGTAGGCCTATGCCTTTCAGTTATGTCCTTGGGCAAGGCACTTTATCTGCGTTGCTTCTCTGCACCCAGGAGTATAAGTGGGTATCTGGTAGGGTTAATTGCCAAAATGCGCTGATGTAGCTTCTGCAACGTTATGGCATACTCCCCCAGGGAGCTTGAGTTTTTGTTCCATAGGCGTTTAATCCAATGACCACAGTAATGATAATGTGAAGGGCATACTATTATTATTATTATTATTATTATTATTATTATTATTATTATTATTATTATTATTATTTTGTAAATGTGATGATGGTAGTACCGATTTCATGTTTCATGATGATGCCGATAACAATAATATTGTAACAAGCATTTTCAATGTGCAAGCTGATTTTTTGGTGCAGCAATACAGAATAAACATTAACACTGTCAACAGTATATACATGATACGAATTCGACTCAGCTGTAGAATGGGACTTCTAACTTTCTAACAAAGCAATACAAAAAACACATTAAAACAAACAATTAAAGGGTTGTTGTACAACTGTAGCAAATATAAGCAATTAATATAGGAACATATAGATGGAATAACGACCCCCCCCCCCCCCACTCCACAAAAAAGTTCTGCTGGTATAGGCCTAAGCCTAGGCTCATTGCTCTACTGAGTACCTACAGTATCACCTGGTAGACAGTGGCGGCTGTAGGATATAATTTATGGGGGGGGGGGGCTAATATGTCCGACTCGGGAGGGGGTGGCTAAATATTTTTGGGTGTAACTATAGCGCGCAGTGTTATCTGGGGTGGCTATGGAAGGGGTGTCCTCTCCTCCCATTTTTTTTAATTGGGACTTCTAGATGGCCGGAAATGGCTGGGATGGGAAAACTAGGCCTATTTGTGTCTACTGGGCTAAGAATTAACTATATGGCCCCGCCCACTCTTTACCATCACCCTCAATACACTGTACACGATAAAGTAACACATGATCAGATGTAGTTTGATTCGGTCGTGATTTATTACGACAAAAAGACAAAAGGACCGTCGCACTTAATGGATTTTGCAAACGTACAATATCGAAGAAAATAATTTTCACTACGTAGCCCCAGCCAGCCGCTGACACAGGCACGTTTTCAGTGAAGTAAACTCACTGAATCTGAAATGAGTGTTGCGAGGTACAACAGGGTACCCGTAATTATTTTTGGACAGTATTGCCTGACGTGCTGCCCCAGACATGCTGAAAGGCCTGTGGATAAGGTGTATCAACAGGGTAACCAGGACGATTTGTAGATGAAAGCTTATGAGTGTAATTTTGCCGCAGCCCTCTGCTGACAGGCGTGTTTGCGAACTACACGGCGTTTTATTGCCCAAGCTAATTGCTGAAATCTCACACCGACAAATGCGACATGCGGATGTAATTGCGGAAGGCTTGCATGAGATCCATCTTCTCATAGTGCGAATTTCCGCTTCGGGGCGCCCCATTTCTGCTGCCCAGGTATGGTTGCAGCCCCAATTCAAAAACTATGGCCAGAGTAACGTGAGAGGTCGAGGCCCAAAAAAAAACTATTGCTGCCTTCAGTTTGGAGTTAACGAATGAGGGAGGAACTGGATTCCCGTCCTCAGGGGCGGATTTAGAGGGGGGGGGGGCTTAACAGGCTTTAGCCCCCCCCCCTAAAATTTCATAGCCATTTCTTTTTAACTGCTTTTTGAAGGTCCAAATTAAATTATCGTTTAATGTTTTCTTCACACACATCATATTTATGGGCTAAACATTTTACAGATGTGTATAAGAGACAGATTGTATCCTTATTACATGCGTGCAACTTAGCACGAAATACAAAAAACGTAGCTAATAGAGCTGCTTTTGCCTACTTTTCAAAGTGGGGGGGGGGACATGGTATCGATTGCCCCCCCCCCCACTTTTCACCAATCTTCTATAATTAAAACCCCACTTTTACAAGCGAATGGAAAGAATAACAATTACGCATGAAATTTGTCTGTTCACTTTTTTAAGTGCCGTACGTATTTTATTTTCCGGACCAAAACCAAGTAAAAAAGCAATTGTTTAAACATTTTGTAACCATCTCAGAAACCCACTAGATCGATTTTATGGGTGCAGCGACTATCAGAGGCTAAATTTATTGTGAAAACAATGTACTGAACGTTGTTGAAATTGGAAGCATGTATCCTTATTAGGCCAATATTTTTACAAACTCAAAAGTGAACAATTTCTAATATAAACGATTTATTCTTTTTGTATATTATTATGACCCGTACGTATATACTAGTGTTTAACATTATCTACTAATTTTTACTAATTTTTCAAAATTATATTTTAAAAATGGGGAAAAAAAACAAAGGAAAATTAGAATTAGAATTTAGGTCTGAGAGTGCCATTTCCGGCAATCTAGAGGTGTCATAATCATAAATTTTCTTACCCCAACCATGGTGGGGCTGAGGTGGTAGTCCAGCTACACTCTCCATCTGTAAAAGTCCCTCTCTGGGCCCAGCTCTATTCCAAATTACTGGATCCGCCACTGGATATTTTAAAAATTTCGTATGGAAATGAATGTTAATTGCATTGCTTAAAATCAATTAAAAGGCTATATGTGCCAGAGCATCCGCCGGGCTTCGCCCCCTGGTCCCCAAACATTGATGGGGCCCACGGCCCAAGGCTTTATTTTTCATCTCGTCCCCCACTTTCAGCCACGGATCGGGACGCCCTTGGGTCGGAGGCAGGTATTTAAACGTTTGTATGATACACTGAACATTTCGTCGAGAGAGTTGTTCCAGTTTAGTTTTTTCTTGATTGCTTGTCGTCGGATAATACTACTACATTTAAAACATATTTTAAGGGGAATTCTTTTGTCGTCTGAGGTTCTCCCTTAACATTGTCAAATTTTACCTTTAGGGACAGTATTTTTATTATGGAACTGTTTTCACGCTCTTCATTGTCGTATGTTCACCATTGGCAACCCTTTCACCAGGATTTTTAAAGAATGGTGAAATTTCAGAAAATGTCCTCCAAATTTTAAGGGTGGTGCACAAAATTCTAAAGGGTGGATACAAACAATTGCTATTTTAGTACATAGCAAGTGAAACGCTATGTCTGTTTATTGACCTTGCATTTGCATTAATATTTTTTGAAGAGTGGTTCCAATATTTTAAGCATGGCATATAATTTGCCTTTTTAATATTTTTATTTAAATTATGTTGTTTCTGTGAGTATCCTACGTGAAAAGATATTTTTATCTGCCATTAAAGATCCTAGTTGATCATTTTTCATATTATTAATTTATTTACATATATTCTTGTTATAATAATGTTTTACTATAAATATTAATATTTACGGAAATAAATGTTGTTTAATGAATGAATAATTATTCAAATCCACTTGAACGACAACAACAACTAGGCATCAGTTATTATTTTTAATGGTGTCTACCACATATTTCTTCTTCAATTATATACAGATACTAATTAAAAGCTCCATTGTACAATTATTTATTCAGTTACAACGTAGTACTATCAGATTGTTTTGAAAGCTTAATGCAGTCACTATAACAATATTCGAA